TGGGGGGGGGGGGGGGGGGAGTGCAAGAACTTAATTTCCCTACCTCTAAAGAAATTATGTAACATGGTTTGCTATCAAATAGTGTTGTTTTGGTTATGGCAATATGTTTTGGGTTTTTTTTCCTTGTATCTAAAGCTCTTTCTAAGTAGCATTTAGTCAGCAAAGTAGGAGGAAACCCCTTCCTTGGGCACAGATATGAGAAATGTTCGGTCTCACCTTTTCAGGTGATGCTGTGGCTGTCTCTTTTCCAAAAGCTTCATTTTAATCATGATGGGGTTAATTTGTGTAATTTTGGTGTGTATAAGGCACTTACTTGAAGTGCACAAAAAGGTGTAGGTTATCTCCAAGGTTACCCTTCACTGAGAATGTAAAAAGCCATCCCGCTGGTAGGTGAGTAGTGTGCTGGAGTACCTTTACTCGGTGAATCTTCTATAGAACTTTACAGCCTCAGTGCACTCTGAGAAATAGTAGTACACACGGGAAATGGCTTCTTCAGAGCGGGCTCAGTTATTTAACCAGGCAGATGCTCTTATTTCTGTAACACTTGAAGTAGTGGTAAGAGCATTTCCTGGGTGAGAATGGATAAACACATAAAATGCTCCTTATCTTTACAATAACAGGTTTGTCTCATGTACTGTCCACGTAGGTATTCCCGGTGCTACCTTCTGTGTTCACTGTCCAGAGCCCTTTGGTGTTTGCACTCACTCTCAGACAAAATGAGTCACGGGTAGTCCTACGTTGTTAAACACAGGCCGTGATACTGTAGGTAGTAGCATGGGTACCTCTAACCAGTCAGGTTCATAAGAGCATGCGTGGCCAGAGTGGACCACATACAGGGTAAAATGTCTAGCTAAATAAGGCAAGTGAAAGTGTGAGGTCTGTCTATCAGAGAGACTAAATCAAAGATGAACTGTCTGATCTAGTTAATCATTGGCCACCAGAGTATATGCCATTGTGAAATACTACTAGAGTTTAATCTATGAGTAAATATTCTTTTATTGCAGGTTCCAGTTATGTAATTTTTAAGATAGAAGTGGCTTAGTCCAGAAAAAACTGCTAGAGGTACTAAAGTGTAATTTACAGTGGAATGTGCTGTTCAATACAATGGCGTAACAAGATGTCTGTTTAGTGTGGATTAGAGTATCTGAAGTGAATACATGCAGAAGTAAAATGTCAGTATATTTTACTCTATTAAAGGGTTGTTGTTTTTTTATTATTATCTATAATGAAGTACTAGTGAATAATCTTGTAAAAAAAAAAAAAAAATTAAAAAAATAAATTATTTATCTATGTTTGTATACCACTGCTGATAGCTTAAATGAATGTCCTTAAACTACACTTCCTCTTTCAAATGAAAACAGATATCTTGCATATTACTTTGGCCAAACGAGGAGACGAGTAGTGTTTTCTTCTGAAAAACTCAAAAATAAATATAAAATGTCTGGAAAAACAGCAATTAGGAGGGTAAGAAAATAGTTTCAATTTTTCTTTTTGGGGGGGAGCGAAGTTGAATCATAGTGTGTTTTAAATTAATAAATATTAATTCCATGTTTTCTGTTACAGGCTTTCTAAAAATACATATATATATTTATTTGTGTTTACAAGGAAGCTGCTGTTGTTAATATTTGCAAAACTTAATTGCAGATTTTTTTTCATTGACTTTGTCATTCCAGTCAGAGGTTTATTAGTCAACAATTGTAATATTGAGTGTTTTAAAGGAACAAAGAGGAAGGAACAAATGTGGCTTTGTTTTAAAAACAAGCCCTTTCCCTGATAATAAATTACATTGTTCAGAAAATCTTAGTTCATGGTTTTGCAGTATTGTCTCTGTGGGTTGCTGAAATAGACAAGGAAATGAGTCAGATTAAATATCTTGATTTCATTCACAAAGTTGAACTGCTCTCTAGTACCAGTTGCTTTGATGGCTCTTCAGTATTAGCCTGTTCTTAGTTCACTGCCATATACACTCTGATTTTGAGCCTGGTGCTTTAGAATTTGCTTTAAAAGGAGGGAGTTCTTTGTTTGTTTTAAGCTTACTTTTCTAAACAATGCAGGGGAATGGTTTTACTGACAATAGTGATAGCTATTGCCTAAATCCAGGCAGTAAAATTGTCAACTATTAAGAAGGAGAGTAGAAAACAAGTGAATATTTAAATTTTTAAATAAATTATACATTTATTTAATTTTTTTCATGTTTATTCTACTTTTGGTGTGGGTTTTTACTTAAAAATAAATACCTTTTCCATGATGGAACATTGTTAGGTTTGCAATTATATTTAACTTAAAATTTTCACTGTTCAAATGAGTATGTTACCCGTGAATATCACTTACCATTTAATTTCTTCAGTCAGTAAGAATTCCAGTTAGTCAGCAAAAACAAACAAGAAAATAATTTTTTCTTCCTTTCCTTCTTCCTCAGATTTGTGGGTCGGTACTTCTAAACAGAATTTGTACAGAGTGAGAATTCTGAATATGGCTTGATTTGCTCTTGATCTTGGCAGTGTTTCTAATGAGTATCCCATGGACTCTATCAAGTTCAGGGGGTTCTACTCTAGCACTGAGGAGCAGAACCCTGAGCAGCAACCTGATATCAGTGAAAACATTTCTTCATCGTTCTCTGTAGAAGAGCAACAGAAAATGAGTGATTATTCTGGACTTGCAACTAATCATAGCCAGATGATTGCTGAAGATTCAGAAATTCAGACAAAGCCTGAACACTCTCATGAAGTTCTTCAGGAAGATATTGAAATGAGCAGTGGATCCAGTGGAAATGACTTCAGCGGAAATGACACAAATGAGAATTACTCAAGTGGGCATGATTCTCATGGCCATGAATCTGATGAAAATGGGAAAGATTCAGCAATGCTCATGGAATCTTCAGACTGTCATAAAAGGTAGTTGCTAATGTTAAATAAATATAACTTATTTTTGTCACTATAGGCTTCTTTCATTTGAATCCAATTTATGAATAATAACTACAGTATAAAGTGTATATTCAGATTGAAACTGAGTGTTCTAGTTAGCTTATGCACTCATGTAAATTGCGTAATATTATAATTCATAAAGAGAAGGTCTGTAGTGTTCCATGGGGCTAGCTTCATTTCAATCTTTCTTCTCATCATCGTGTGTTAATTATTTATAAATTTTCTTGAAAACCAACTTCTATACTTGTATATCAAAATCTGTCAGTCTCTTCTTATGTGTAAAGATACAACTGTGCTAATTTCATCTCTTAAATACCATAGCGAAAAAGCAAAACCACAGTAAGAAGAACCTTCTTAGAGAAATGTGTGATAGCTATAGTTTCCATTTACTGTACCAGGCAGCAGCTTTTAAACTTGTCATGTTTAGTTTTTAGATAGCCAATCATTAATAATAGCTAAAATGAACTAAACAGTTGATTGTTAGGTTTACTAATAATTATCTCTCTCTTTCCTTATTCTAGTTCAAGTTCAAATGCATTTAGCCTGATGATTGCAAACTCTGAACACAATCAGTCCAGCAGTGGGTGCAGGTAAATTAATGAGCATATATTTTCAGTAATTTGCATGTATGTAATGCTAAATGCAGAAAACGAAATAGTGTTGTGTTTTGGTTTTTTTCCTTTTGTTTTGGCTAAACCTTGAGGAGTACACAAGAAATCCTATCTTTGATTCTCCTCTTGTCCTTAATCAGTAGCATGTCCTGTTAACCACTTGGTTGAATTCAAGCTGTTTCTGTTTCATGCAAGTTGTGTGATAAGCTTTCAAGTCATCTTACTTTATTTTGATTTGGTAGCTGAACTCTGTAATTTTATTTTTGTGGTTCACTTTGAATATTGCTTCAGCTCTAGTGGTTTTTTTGAAGCTTTTCTTTAAATTTTCCACTCTTTAGAAGTTAGTCTGAAGTCCTTGCCTGAGGACAACCTAGTAGTGTTTTAACATCGGAATTCACCCATTGAGTTGGATGTGTTCTGATGTCCAGCAGCCATATCATCTGCCTCTCCTGTGTTCCATTCGCCAGGATTCAAGCCTCAAGTCTGTAAGGATAAACCAACATCAGCTGCAGGAATCCCTCTGTATGAACTGTGCTGGCCCTGATAGCCTTGAGAAATGTGGTGGCATTGAAGGCTCAAATCTCGGCACTTCAGGGTGCCCTGATGTACTTACTGACTTTATTTAAGTCAGCTTCTGAACAGGAGAACAAAACCTGATCCTGAGCAGATCAAGGATATCTAGCTATAGTGTACTCATGTTAAGACCCTTATCTACATGTACCTACTTGGAGGTGTTTCTACCTGATGCAGTTTCTACAGAAGTGGTAAATTAAAATTACCCCTTTGCACCTTTTGGTGCTTGATGAACTTATTTTCTGTGTCTGCCTTGCAGGCACCCAGAGATCTTGTTCCATGCTGTATTTTCAATTGGAAATTGTGTTCTGGAGTTCATGTTGCTTAGTGTGAAAGAGTGAACCAAAGGCATTTATTAATCTTCCTTTCCCATTGATTCCAGTTTCTTCACTGCAAGATTTTTGGAGGGTTACTTGTTACAGTTTTTCTGATACCTCTTTATTTTGATTTTCACTAATAGCTCTCTGCTCAGAAATAAATGTGTATCTGGATGCTACCATGTTTTTCCTAGCTGTCAGGTACAGTGCTAGAGGGTTACAGAGCAGAATCTGATCATCTTTTGGGAATGGGAGACTGAGGACATCAAGAGAATGATCTTTAGAGAGAAGACTGGCTGATAAGCCATACGTTTGGCTCCTGGTTTTATAGAACTTGCTTATTCTGTCCTCTGCAAGTCACACCTTCCCTGTAGTTGGCTACTGTGCCTGATGCTACCGATCTTTGGAAACACATTTTTGAGTTGTATTATGTTTCCAAGGAGGTCCGTCTTCTATATTTGCTGCTGCTGTAGGCTGATTTGGAAAGGTTTCTTTTGTTGCAAGAGTCTGACCACTCTCATGAAGCATACTCAGAGAGCACAAAACCAGCAATATGCTCAGCTATTTCATAATCTTTTCCCTCTCTCTTTTTCCCTACTGCCAGTGCAGAGGGTTCTTCTATTAAAAAGGCCCTGTTTGATTGCATCAGTCCATAACTGTCAAGCCAAGTTGTATATGTGATTTAAATATACAGCACGAACATAATGTTTCCCAAGGGAGTACTATACTCTTTTGTCTTACTCCTTGCCATTATTTCTCAGTACAAAATGACCACTGATTAAGTGAGTGCTGTGTTTCTCATAGTACATTGTGATGTAAGTGAGAACAATGTGTATTCTCTAGTACAGGACAGCTTTGTCACTTTCCAAACATTTTTTGTAAAATGCACCCAACACCTGTCAGATGATAGACCTATCTGAAGAACTTCTCAAACTTCCCAGAAAAAATGTTCAGAAATCCTCTTGAAAATTACCTGGAAGCTGAAGCTACTTTATTGAACACTTCAGACATGGCAGTGCAGTTGCTAAGCCTATAGTTTCTACGGTGGTACTTAGGGTACCTTCTTAGAGACTACCAGCCATGACAATCAGGTGGTAAGAGAAGACCTTCCTTTTGACGGGAAATAATTTATTTTCTGGAAGGTTTAAGAAAAGCTCTAGAAACTTCTTGATTGTTGTGACTGATCAGCTTTTAAAATCTACTCCAATGAGAAAGACAAGGTGATTTTTTTTTTTTTTTTCATTTTAACTGCTTCCTACCCACCTGCCACCCATCCTTGTCATCCACTTCCTTCCTTCCCTTCCCTCCTTTTCCTTTTTGATTTTGTCAGCACCTCTTAATAATGGGGAGAGATATCAGGAACTGCAAAGGCAGGCAATAATTTTCTGACGTTGGCACTGATAATCCCTCTGTAGTTTGACCTTCTGCACTGAGACAGCACTTATGAAAATGCACCTGAGATGTGAATGCAATTTCTGTCTTCATCCTCCTCTGATCCTTTACCCTGCATATTTAGTCAAGTTTCCTTATCTTATTTAATGTATTGCTATGCTTGGATACATTGTTCCAAGGATTTCTCCATTTGTTTTGTTAACTTGATGCTCTCCCCCTGCCATTCCCTTTTCAGGGACCTTTCTTATGAGAACCTGCTCGAACAGGAGGTGAAGACTTGAATGGACCTCCTGCTTCTCTCCTTTGAAGTCCATGAACATTTCTTTGAGTTTGAATTTGAAAGGAACTAAGGAAAATACCACTAAAAAGGGAGGAGGGAGACTGTGGAAAAATAAAAAATAAAAAAATTATTTGGTGCTTGGGTATATGTACTGTTGCACTTACAGGGTACATTTTACAATAAGACTTGAGGTGGTGGTAAATTTTTCATTTTAAATTATCCTAGCTAATTTAAGAATTATTGTAAGTTCTGAATGTTGATACAAAGTACTGGAAAAGTTAACATGGCTAGCTGTACAAGTGTCACAGTATATTTGGGCAATTCAAGCACTCAGGTGACGTTTTATTTTTTCTTTAATCTTACAGTAGTGAGCAGTCCACTAAAGCCAAAACACAAAAGGAATTGCTGAAAACACTACAAGAGCTGAAAGCTCACCTTCCTTCTGAAAAGAGAATTAAAGGCAAATCTAGTGTCCTAACGACGTTGAAATATGCCCTTAAAAGCATTAAACAAGTTAAAGGTAATCAAGTATGATACTACCTAGACAATGCCAATCTGAATAAAATTAAATATTTAAAATAGGAATTTAAATGTAGTTGTCTGTGTAAAGTTAAGTTTATTATATTTGAAAACCTCTCTAAACAGGCGTTTTCATGGTGTTCCCACTTCTTGGCTCTGTTAACTTGTGTTCCTTTGGGAGTTAAGGCTGCTTTCTAGATGCTTGGTATTTTACTGATATTTGTTGAGTTTGTAAATGGTTTTAAATTATTTTTCTATGCCATACTATTTGAACTGTCAAACAGACTGAAATATATAACCACACGCATATGGGTATATTAAGATGGGTAAATTTATTTGGGTTACTGATGAGGAAGCTCTACCAAGGAAAAACTAATTTGGAGCAGTACTTTGATTTCTGTGCTTATGCCAAAAAAGGTTTTGTCCATTTACCACTTCCAGGCTGGATGTTTATTGATGAGATTTTTAATTCTTAACATAGTTGTTTAATATTCTCATGTAGCCAATGAGGAGTATTACCAATTGTTGATGATTAATGAATCCCAGCCTGCTGGACTCAATGTGTCATCTTACACGGTGGAAGAAGTGGAGACTATAACCTCAGAATACATCATGAAAAATGCGGTAAGTACGGTGACCCAAGTCTACAGTGTGTATTGAAAATGTTTTCTGAAACTGGAATTCTCAGGCTCACCTTTTTACAAGGTAAGAGTTGGTAGCTAGGCCAGTAAGCTGAAGAAGCTGTCTTTGGCCTTCCAGTGAATGTTGAGTAGAAACTCTGAGCCTTTGCAGACTTCGCCAGTAGGAGCTTGATCTAAGTTTTTTTTGTCAGTTAGGTGTAAAATAAATAATCTAAACTCCTTGGTCCTCTGAATTGTACTTTGTACTTAGAGATGATGGTGTGACATATCTCAACAACCGTGGGATGTAATGCACTGTGAGACATCATTAACTTTCATTTTAGAGCAACTGCTAAAGTTGGAGAGTAACTCTTTCCAAATTTCAGTCAAGGTACCCCTATGAATTGTTTCAGCTTATCCTTACCAGTAAGGGTTCTTTGATGTTTCACCAGTTCTTTGTGTTAATGTGACTGAAAAGTGATGAAAGTGCTGGAATCATTGTTTGTTGTACTCTCTTCTGTCACATCTTTGCAACTGATACAGGCATACTGTGTGACACAGTGATGCTATGTCATCTTGTCTAGATAAGAATAGCTATGACAATCAGCATAGTTTGTTTTTTTAATTTATTTTCCCCATTACCACTGTTTTAGGGATCTATTATGGACTCTTCAGTCTTCAAAAAATAATTGCATGTAAACTTATTAGACTACCTTCCCCTATTCCACTTGCCCCGCAAAGTCTCTGCCTGAATGTATGAAGTTCTGAAATCAATAAAATAAAGAAATGGTAGGGGATGTTTCCTAGCTTGAAGTAGGTGGGTTTTATTGTTATCTATGCGTAGTAAAGGTTGTCCACAAGGTAAAATAAATAGGAAGTCTAGAGTACAACTGAGAACTTCAGCCAAATATCATAAACATCATTCAATTGATCTGAAATATCTGAGTTTGTGAAACTGGTGTTCTGACGACAGCTCTTAAGTTTGTGTATAGTGTTAGTGGGTAGAGCACTAAAGGTTATGACGCAGGAAACTCTTCTGTGTCAAGAATAGCAATGTGTAATGATACAAGTGGAATGTGTGTATGTTTGTGTGGGACTTTTTTTTTTTTTTTCTTTTTCCACCTGTCTACTCATTATTTTACCAAGTGGTATAGAGTGCTCTTTTTCATTTTGCAGTGGATGGGCAAGATGTTTGTGTGGGACTTTTTTTTTTTTTTTCTTTTTCCACCTGTCTACTCATTATTTTACCAAGTGGTATAGAGTGCTCTTTTTCATTTTGCAGTGGATGGGCAAGCTAACATAAATAGCCTTTCACAAACCAGTTGAATTTCATAAATGTAAAATAAGCCTGCAACAAGCACAAGGAAAACATGCAGTTTTATAGCTGGGAGCTCTTTAATTCTTAATTTGTAAATTCATTCTGCATCTTAAAATTTTAGGTAGTGATAGTTAGGGCTTGTAACCCAGTAAGATGATACTGTATTATTATTGCATAGTTCAAAAAGTGTACTGTCTACTTCTTATGCAGATTAATATGATTTTATTGCTCCCTAAGCAGATGCAGTTTAATATTATTTCCTTAATTTTTATTTTGAACTTATTAATGCTTTTATATTTTAAATGTTTGTCTAAGAAATATGTGCTGGGTTGGAGAATGTTTTAAACTGTTTAAATAATTTGAGATTTTTATTTTTAGGATATGTTTGCTGTAGCTGTTTCTTTGATTACTGGGAAAATTTTGTACATCTCTGATCAAGCTGCTTCTATTCTCCGCTGTAAGAGGGGTTATTTTAAAAATGCCAAATTTGTGGAGTTCTTGGCACCTCAGGATGTCAGTGTGTTCTATACTTCTACTACCCCTTACAGATTACCATCATGGAATATTTGCAATAGAGCTGGTAAGTAGTCTCAACAGCACATTTTTCTCTGACCTTTCAGTCATGCAATACTTGAACTGATTTTAATATCCTTCCATCCTTCTTCCATCACTTTTTGAGGGTATTACACAGATGCATTATTAGAACATCTCTGAACAATACTAGACATATAACACACTTCTATAAATCAGCAAGGCTTGTCTGTTCACTTAAATTCTTCTGAATTTCATTGTTTGTTGGTTTCTGTGCCACTTTCCTCCAAATGATGAATGAAAACAAAGTAGGTGTTCATGCTGACTAGTGGGTTTGCTTTCCACTTTTAGTAGTAATCAAATGACTGCAGGTTTTCTTTAAAAATTCATTTCTTCGCATGTAAGGAGGATAATATTTTCCCTCCTTCCTTTTAAAATTTGAATACTGGACACCTTGATTACAGTGTAGAAAAATGTACTTCAGCTACCATCACTGTGCATTGCTCAAGTGTAATCATATCTCTGTTCTTTTAGCTGTACAAGAATGATGTTAGGCACGCTAATGGTGAAGGATCAGAGGTCTTGGGGCACTTGATATTTGTTTGTGGGAGGATTGTTTTACTACCGTAGCTACAGCTGTTAGAAATCGAGAAATAGCTGCCAACTATTTTAACCAAATGCTTGAAATTCAGGGTCTGCTCTAAATGTTTGAAATTCCAATCCCTTTTATAGTAAGTATATTAAGTCAGAGTGTGAGCCATATTTATCTGAAAAAACAATTAGCAATAAATATATACTAAGGAATGCATCCATAAAGCCAGTTGGAAAGGACCTTGTGAGGTCTGTAGTCCACCTTCTGGCTCAAAACAGGGTCAATGGTAAATTCTGACCATGTGATCCTAATTAAAGGTATTATTCAGGCAATTTTTTTTCTGAAACATTTTATGTAGTTTTATTATGTTTATGCATAGCTTTAATTTCAAAAATGCAGTAAGTGGAACTGTGCACCTTATCGGCTGCCATAGAATATAATATGTAGAAGTATTGTGCACTGAGGCCTTTAAATGACCAGAACTTGCCTTGAAAAATCAGTCTGTGGCCATTCTGGAAAAGGAGGAAAATAGGCTTAAAAGATGAGAGGAAGCTGTCATGAAAAATAATTTTGTGAGAGGGTGGGGTGGCAAGTGGATTTGATGATTTAGCTGTCCTAGTGCTTTTCTAGGAAAAAGGTAAAATACTGGGGTTCCATATAATCAAACCGTTTTGGTCAATGCTATAAAGGAGAATGGAAAAGCTGATAAGAGTAAACAGGTCAAACTGGAGAACTGTTTGGATGTGTTTTTGACAAAAGGCTTAATAAGCAAGTAGCTGTGATTCACATGCCAGCCTCAGAATCTGAGCAGTATTCAGAAAAATACGTATGGAGACTTCAGGGTACGTAAACTTTTTAAAGAATTCAGCCTTTATCATGCAAGGAAAAAATTTTGGTTTGCATACCATAATCTCATCATAATTTGTAACTTGTTATGACATTTGTTTAATATTTCTAGAGTCTTCCACCCAGGATTGCATGGAAGAGAAATCTTTTTTCTGTCGCATCAGGTAAGACAACAATATTTTAAAGCTTAGTTTTATATTATGAAACCATGCACTACAAAAATATTTGACTTTTACATACCGTATGGTTCTTATCAGTTTCTTACTTTTCCATAATGTGAACATGAGGCAAAACATATGCATGTCCTCTAGTTGATTAACTTCTAGAAGCTACAGAGAAAACTGCAAAGTGATTTCAGGAAGTTGCATCTTAAAAGTTAATCCGTGTGAATATTGACCTTTGCACCTTGCATAAAGCAGCTGATACGGTATCTCCTACTGCTACAGAAAATCTTCAGTTCATGTTAACTAAACTGTTCTGTTCAGTACCTGCTACAGAGTCTCTTTCATTATAGAATACGAATGCCTAATCTTGAATTCATCTCAAGTGTCCCATAGAGAAACATGCGTGAGGGTAACTTGACTTCTCCCCTGCGGTTACTGGGTGACACATCTCCTTTTGGTTTTCCTTTTCTTCTTTCTTTTCCTACCCCCACTTACTTTAGTTGCTTTTATTTAGGAAATGATGGCAACTTATTCCACGTTCATTCTTGTACACTTTGATTTCTTACTGCTTATTGCCTCTCTGGTAGCATTTCCAAATTGTGAATCCTATTACTTAATTACTTCTGCAGAAAATAAATACTGATCATTAAGGTATGAATAAAGTAAAAAAAAAATAGAGGCAATGCATACTGCTCCAGAGCGTTGGGTTGGATCTATTGTAAAAGTATTGCTGGTGTTATTGCAGACTTTTTTTTTTGTCCAACTAATATTGGTTCCAAAAGCTTTAGTTTTATAAAGCTGTGCTGTTATATTAAAATGAATTTTTTGTCCCTGTAAATGTTTTTTATTTTCATTACTATACTTTGCATTCTTATTAAGTAAATAGCTGCTATTATAGGTAAGAATTTCTGAGTCTCTGTTCTGTGTAAATTGGTATAAATAATGACTAAAAGAAGGTCTTTATGTTAACTGAGGGCATATAGCAATCTTCATAAAATACAACTATAAATTCATCCCTCCGAAGGGTATAGTGTCACAGATTAAGATTATTGGATCAACAAAATAATTTATCGTAGGAGGTGAGTATTTTTTTTTTCCCAACAAATTTCCATTTAAAGCAATTGTGCATCTTTTTATTTCAGGCAGTAGAGAGGACAGTGGTTTTTTTCATTGCAGTTGGTATGCAAAGGATGCCATCAGAATTAGCTTCTCTTCTACCAAAAAAAAAAAAGAAAGATTTAAGAAACCTAAGTTCATGGGTGCTATTTTAGGAGCTATCATGCAGTCCTTGTGTCATGACGAAATTACAATAGACACATTAAAACTTTGTTTAACATAAGATAAATCTGTTGACATAATTAACTCTGCTTAATTATTAGTGCGGGAAAGGAGCGTGAAAATGAGATTTGCTATCACCCGTTTCGGATGACTCCTTACCTTATAAAAGTGCAAGATCCAGAAATCGCAGAGGACCAACTTTGCTGTGTGTTGCTTGCAGAAAAAGTACATTCTGGTTATGAAGGTAAGGTAATCCTTTGAATGCACAAAGACTCATTTGGTTTCTTGAAAGTAAGAACTGTTCTATGTTCTGCTACAGGAATTTCCATGCTGGGTAGCACAACAGAATTTCAGCCTAAGAAAGCCAACTATATGAGTTATTGTCAGTGGCCTCAGGGTTTTATTAAAGTAAAAGTTCTGTTAAAGTAACTGGTTCTGTTCTCTGCCCTTGCTGAGAGGCTGTGAGCTAGCAACCTGCTAGTTCCTATATGCTCGTAGACTTTTAGACTCTGCTTAGTATTACAGTGTGTCACTGGAAGTATTTTATGTATGCAATAAAACCCCACTTGTTAATCTGCTTTTGTCTTTCTCTCAGCACCCAGAATTCCTCCTGACAAAAGAATTTTTACAACTACACACACACCAACCTGTTTGTTCCAGGATGTAGATGAAAGGTAACTTACAAAAAAAATATTATTTTTCAATTTACTGATAAGCAAATTGTGTCTTTATAGGTATTTTTAGTATTTAATTAAGATGTCTGTGTGGGGCTAAAAAATTATGTGACTACTGAAGAGTAGGGAACCCAAGAAAAGTACCTTGCTCAATTTTCACTAAGCATGAAAGCATTACTCTGTGGTATTTAAATGGAAAACTGTTTGCCTGCTGACAACTTGTTCTTCCGTTTTCCTTTCATATGGGGCAAATCTGGACATAAATGCAATGGATGAAACCCAGTCAGAAAAAATCCTATGCTAAAAATCACTACCTGTATGAGATTTTTAGGTGGTTTTGTTTTTTTTAAAGTTTGATCCAATTAATAACAAGCAGTATATTGCTGTCACTTTGTGCTGGCCCAGATACAACTAGAAGTGTGTCTTTTAAATCTTTTGGATATTATATACACAATATTATGTGTTCTCAGTTCAAACTACAGTCTTTATAGTTCTTGCTGCTGTTGTCTGTATAAAAAATCTGCTCACATTCTACTGGCTGAAGACTTCACATTGCTTTGATAGTCATGGAAGCTGATTAGAGTAAGTATTCACATCTCAGAGTAGAACCAAATATGGGCCTTGTGATCTTAAGCCATACACAGAGGCTCAGAGACGAAGATCTAAGCCAAGCTTTTCTTTAGTCCTCCAGACTGCTTTTGCCTGGGACCTTTCAGAGGATGTTTAGGTGATGGAAACACGAGGTCTATGAAAAGAACGGAAGATGCTCCTTCACAGTTAGGAGCGTACTTGGCTGAGGAGGCGGCGATAATCTCAACAAGCTTTTGAGGACAGGGAAGCACTTTGGAAATTCTTAGTGTTTTGAAGACTTGACTTGAGAATTCACTTGTTCCTGAGTTGAAAACACAGGCTGCCTTTTCTCTTTCTTTCTCTTCCTCTTACCTTGTTTAATTTGATGTTTTCTTCACGATGGTTTCTGATATGCTATATGTGCAATTTCGTTTTGTTGGGTTTTTTTCCTTAGTGAAAACTAAATTGGCTGCAGTAGCAGCATTTGACTTTTGAGATCTCCCCTCCTCTGTTCTTAAACATTCTAAGAATGCTCCAAGCCAACTGCAACTTTGCAGGGTGGGTTTATCTTTCCAAATTGGCTAATGGCATGATGTAAAGCTTCTCTTCCCCTGTGCACCCCCAGCTCATTTATTTCCAGTAGTCGTTTAACAGAAATGGCAATACTACTGAACAGAGAGCTTTGTGCTTGTTCTGGGAACAAGCTCTGGTGGAGTGACTGAACAGAGAGCTTTGTGCTTGTTCTGGGACGTGGGTGGAGTGACTGTGGAAAATCCCTTCTCTATGGCTACTATGGAAGCTTCTTTCCTGTTAGTCTGGTGTTACCACTTAAATACCATTTTTGAACACTCACAGTGAGGTTTGATTATATCTTGGACTGGTATTAGGATTTTGTTTCATTTATTTGTATTGTTGCGATATGTTTGGTTGATTTTGCTTTTAATTATTTAACTCCCTAGAGCATTGGCAGCCAGATAAATGTTTACCAAGATATGCAGATGCATTTATTACTCTTAGGCTCTACAGAGTTAGGTGTAATGCACAAAACAATAGATTCTTAGAGAAAAAGGAGTCTAATATTAAAAAATATACAGCTGAACACCTGCTGTTGAGTGAGAATTATTCATAATGTAATACTGAAACCATTGCCTGACTTGCATAAAATAAAGTTAATTCTGTAATCAGTATGTGTTCATGGGTTACAAAGGTGCTTATTTGTCCTAACTCTGCAAGTAGATCTCTGCAGAGAATAAGTAAATATTTACCTGAAATTAAATGGATCATTCCCATATATACTTATCAAGTATCAAATACATTTCAAAGACATGTATGATGGGTGCAAGGACTTCTCTGTAGTTCACAGTGGAGTGATCTTAGCAGATGAAGTTAAAGCAGTTTTCTCTTTCACTTGCAATAAGAGTATAAAGAGACATCTTATTCATGTTGTTTTGACATTTTAAATGTCATTCTATAAAACACAAACTAAACTTGCTGCCTGTCCTCATCAGCTGATGCCATGTGTGCATTTGCATTCATAAAATGAGTTTATTAACTTAAACTCTGAATTATTTTGAGTTACTAACTTTGAGGAAGCATAATGATGCTAAGGTAATGCCTCTAGTAGATAGTAGATTAAGTATTCTCAAATACAGCATTATAAGCTCTCAGAAATGCTGGTTGGAAGAGGCTACTGGAGTTTTCTGTCCAGCCTTTTGCTTGAGATGAAACCGTTGCCCAGTTCTAGGTTAGGTCAGCTGTGACCTTGTCTAAATAATGCCCAAAAACCTCCAAGGACAGAGATTACACAATTGATATGGGAAACTGTTCCTGTGTTGCACTACTCACTTTGTTAAAAAAGTTTTCCTAACATCTAGCATAAGCTTTCCAGACTGCAATCTGGGGCCATTGCCCCTAGTTTTATTTTGTCTTGCATCGTCAAGAAAATTTAACTCCATCTTTGTAACTCCTCTTTCCAGTAGTTGCAGGAAGCTCCTGCATCATCCCTTAGCCTCCTCTTCATCAGAACAGGCAAGCCCAGCTGAATCTCTACTCATCTTTTATATTCTAGGTCCCTGACTCTTTCCGTTATTTTCATATCAGTATAAAAACAAATAGAGAATTAGGGTTTTTTTGCATAGAAGTGACCACATTTGCAACTTTCTTTATAACTAGGTTAATAAATAACAGCTTTAAATTTGATCCCTTTTAAGGTAGGTGTTCTGTCACAGCACAAACAAATGTAGTTTGCCAGGCTTTCATAAAGCAGGTGGCAAAGAATAGGAACAGTGTGAACAAAACCTCTTGTTTTCTTCTACTTCTTACAACTTTATTTGATGAAGTCCTAACTGAAGTCATTCAGAATTGATGGGTATTTTAAACTCCTTGAGCAGCATAATTTTTATGTGCTTTGAATCTGGCAGCATTTTGAAATGGCAGTGTGTCAAAATGGTATGATTTGATATGAGTTTCAGCTTTGTAAAGTTGTTGCTTTAGATCATCTACAAGCTTTTAAGACTCATTATTGAAGCAATTAGTTAAATAATAAGGCATTAGTTGCTATCCTCGTTTTCCCCTGAATATCTCAGCCTCTTTGCCAGAAGGGTATCTTTGATGTGTTAGAGAACTGATCTAATCCCTGGGAGTTATTGGAAGTGCAATGTTGAGGGCATTTGTCCCATAATTCTTTTGAGTTCCAACACAACACAGATTCTGAGTCTGTGCTGCCCTGTGGGGAAGTCCTTCGTTAAAGCTATTTAGATACCTAATTATCTTTCTGCTTCTGGCCCTTTGTCAGTGAATAGGGCTAGGGGAAAGGTATACAGCGCTTTGAGTTTACCAGATGATTCATTGGCATCTGGCAACTTTTCAAACATTACTGAGTTGTATTGACTTTAATGCATTATTTTTTTTCCAAAGCATATTTTTGGTGATTAGCTTTCAGGGTAAGGTGCAAATTGAAACTTGTGAATTTTCACTCTTTCTTCTTTATATGAATGCTCTAAGTGAGCAATGAAAATTATATCATCACATAAAGTAGTCGTTCACATCATCAGGAGTGGTTATTGATATAATGTGCAGGAATTCAGTAACATTACTTTTAATTCTCTATTTTAGTTAATAAGCTTGCTTCCCTGCAGCTCCTTTATGAGTTGAACTCTTAACCTGCCTGTGAGAAAGTCCTAGTCATCTACCCTGTTGCTAGTTCAGCTGTAGTAATCCTGTGATCCTTAGCCTTGGCTTCCAGCCCACAGATTGGGGTACTACTTACCTTCATGAGAGTTTTACAAGATTAAACTTTATTAATGCTCTTTTAAAATTAGGTAAGTGTTTATCCTCTAGAGCTGGGCAGCATAGAAAACACAGAACTGATATAACAGACTCCTTGATTTGGTAAATAATGTTGTTTTGTCAAGTTACCAAAAAAACCAAACCACTCCACAAAGAAAGAGAAACACAATTGTTCAAAGTATACTACTGCTCTTAAGTTGGCACTGCTATTTCCTCAAATTTAAACTTAAAATTATTCATTCTCTTTATAGGAAAAAGAGCAAAGAAAACTTAAAATGGAAGCATTTTAAAGATTAAATACACATTTTTTTCCACTTGATTTTTATTATTATTTGTTTTTCTTTTTTCAGAGCAGTACCTCTGTTGGGATACCTACCTCAGGACTTAATAGGAACACCAGTCTTGGTGCACCTTCACCCAAATGACAGGCCCTTAATGCTGGCAATTCACAAAAAAAGTGTGTAATCTCTTACTGTGTCTTAAATATTTTTTTCATAAAGCAGCTGATACGGTATCTCCTACTGCTACAGAAAATCTTCAGTTCATGTTAACTAAACTGTTCTGTTCAGTACCTGCTACAGAGTCTCTTTCATTATAGAATACGAATGCCTAATCTTGAATTCATCTCAAGTGTCCCATAGAGAAAGATGCGTGAGGGTAACTTGACTTCTCCCCTGCGGTTACTGGGTGACACATCTCCTTTTGGTTTTCCTTTTCTTCTTTCTTTTCCTACCCCCACTTACTTTAGTTGCTTTTATTTAGGAAATGATGGCAACTTATTCCACGTTCATTCTTGTACACTTTGATTTCTTACTGCTTATTGCCTCTCTGGTAGCATTTCCAAATTGTGAATCCTATTACTTAATTACTTCTGCAGAAAATAAATACTGATCATTAAGGTATGAATAAAGTAAAAAAAAAATAGAGGCAATGCATACTGCTCCAGAGCGTTGGGTTGGATCTATTGTAAAAGTATTGCTGGTGTTATTGCAGACTTTTTTTTTTGTCCAACTAATATTGGTTCCAAAAGCTTTAGTTTTATAAAGCTGTGCTGTTATATTAAAATGAATTTTTTGTCCCTGTAAATGTTTTTTATTTTCATTACTATACTTTGCATTCTTATTAAGTAAATAGCTGCTATTATAGGTAAGAATTTCTGAGTCTCTGTTCTGTGTAAATTGGTATAAATAATGACTAAAAGAAGGTCTTTATGTTAACTGAGGGCATATAGCAATCTTCATAAAATACAACTATAAATTCATCCCTCCAAAGGGTATAGTGTCACAGATTAAGATTATTGGAACAACAAAATAATTTATCATAGGAGGTGAGTATTTTTTTTTTTCCCAACAAATTTCCATTTAAAGCAATTGTGCATCTTTTTATTTCAGGCAGTAGAGAGGACAGTGGTTTTTTTCATTGCAGTTGGTATGCAAAGGATGCCATCAGAATTAGCTTCTCTTCTACCAAAAAAAAAAAAGAAAGATTTAAGAAACCTAAGTTCATGGGTGCTATTTTAGGAGCTATCATGCAGTCCTTGTGTCATGACGAAATTACAATAGACACATTAAAACTTTGTTTAACATAAGATAAATCTGTTGACATAATTAACTCTGCTTAATTATTAGTGCGGGAAAGGAGCGTGAAAATGAGATTTGCTATCACCCGTTTCGGATGACTCCTTACCTTATAAAAGTGCAAGATCCAGAAATCGCAGAGGACCAACTTTGCTGTGTGTTGCTTGCAGAAAAAGTACATTCTGGTTATGAAGGTAAGGTAATCCTTTGAATGCACAAAGACTCATTTGGTTTCTTGAAAGTAAGAACTGTTCTATGTTCTGCTACAGGAATTTCCATGCTGGGTAGCACAACAGAATTTCAGCCTAAGAAAGCCAACTATATGAGTTATTGTCAGTGGCCTCGGGGTTTTATTAAAGTAAAAGTTCTGTTAAAGTAACTGGTTCTGTTCTCTGCCCTTGCTGAGAGGCTGTGAGCTAGCAACCTGCTAGTTCCTATATGCTCGTAGACTTTTAGACTCTGCTTAGTATTACAGTGTGTCACTGGAAGTATTTTATGTATGCAATAAAACCCCACTTGTTAATCTGCTTTTGTCTTTCTCTCAGCACCCAGAATTCCTCCTGACAAAAGAATTTTTACAACTACACACACACCAACCTGTTTGTTCCAGGATGTAGATGAAAGGTAACTTACAAAAAAAATATTATTTTTCAATTTACTGATAAGCAAATTGTGTCTTTATAGGTATTTTTAGTATTTAATTAAGATGTCTGTGTGGGGCTAAAAAATTATGTGACTACTGAAGAGTAGGGAACCCAAGAAAAGTACCTTGCTCAATTTTCACTAAGCATGAAAGCATTACTCTGTGGTATTTAAATGGAAAAACTGTTTGCCTGCTGACAACTTGTTCTTCCGTTTTCCTTTCATATGGGGCAAATCTGGACATAAATGCAATGGATGAAACCCAGTCAGAAAAAATCCTATGCTAAAAATCGCTACCTGTATGAGATTTTTAGGTGGTTTTGTTTTTTTTTAAAGTTTGATCCAATTAATAACAAGCAGTATGTTGCTGTCACTTCGTGCTGGCCCAGATACAACTAGAAGTTTGTCTTTTAAATCTTTTGGATATTATATACACAATATTATGTGTTCTCAGTTCAAACTACAGTCTTTATAGTTCTTGCTGCTGTTGTCTGTATAAAAAATCTGCTCACATTCTACTGGCTGAAGACTTCACATTGCTTTGATAGTCATGGAAGCTGATTAGAGTAAGTATTCACATCTCAGAGTAGAACCAAATATGGGCCTTGTGATCTTAAGCCATACACAGAGGCTCAGAGACGAAGATCTAAGCCAAGCTTTTCTTTAGTCCTCCAGACTGCTTTTGCCTGGGACCTTTCAGAGGATGTTTAGGTGATGGAAACACGAGGTCTATGAAAAGAACGGAAGATGCTCCTTCACAGTTAGGAGCGTACTTGGCTGAGGAGGCGGCGATAATCTCAACAAGCTTTTGAGGACAGGGAAGCACTTTGGAAATTCTTAGTGTTTTGAAGACTTGACTTGAGAATTCACTTGTTCCTGAGTTGAAAACAGAGACTGCCTTTTCTCTTTCTTTCTCTTCCTCTTACCTTGTTTAATTTGATGTTTTCTTCACGATGGTTTCTGATATGCTATATGTGCAATTTCGTTTTGTTGGGTTTTTTTCCTTAGTGAAAACTAAATTGGCTGCAGTAGCAGCATTGGACTTTTGAGATCTCCCCTCCTCTGTTCTTAAACATTCTAAGAATGCTCCAACCCAACTGCAACTTTGCAGGGTGGGTTTATCTTTCCACATTGGCTAATGGCATGATGTAAAGCTTCTCTTCCCCTGTGCACCCCCAGCTCATTTATTTCCAGTAGTCGTTTAACAGAAATGGCAATACTACTGAACAGAGAGCTTTGTGCTTGTTCTGGGACGTGGGTGGAGTGACTGTGGAAAATCCCTTCTCTATGGCTACTATGGAAGCTTCTTTCCTGTTAGTCTGGTGTTACCACTTAAATACCATTTTTGAACACTCACAGTGAGGTTTGATTATATCTTGGACTGGTATTAGGATTTTGTTTCATTTATTTGTATTGTTGCGATATGTTTGGTTGATTTTGCTTTTAATTATTTAACTCCCTAGAGCATTGGCAGCCAGATAAATGTTTACCAAGATATGCAGATGCATTTATTACTCTTAGGCTCTACAGAGTTAGGTATAATGCACAAAACAACAGATTCTTAGAGAAAAAGGAGTCTAATATTAAAAAATATACAGCTGAACACCTGCTGTTGAGTGAGAATTATTCATAATGTAATACTGAAACCATTGCCTGACTTGCATAAAATAAAGTTAATTCTGTAATCAGTATGTGTTCATGGGTTACAAAGATGCTTATTTGTCCTAACTCTGCAAGTAGATCTCTGCAGAGAATAAGTAAATATTTACCTGAAATTAAATGGATCATTCCCATATATACTTATCAAGTATCAAATACATTTCAAAGACATGTATGATGGGTGCAAGGACTTCTCTGTAGTTCACAGTGGAGTGATCTTAGCAGATGAAGTTAAAGCAGTTTTCTCTTTCACTTGCAATAAGAGTATAAAGAGACATCTTATTCATGTTGTTTTGACATTTTAAATGTCATTCTATAAAACACAAACTAAACTTGCTGCCTGTCCTCATCAGCTGATGCCATGTGTGCATTTGCATTCATAAAATGAGTTTATTAACTTAAACTCTGAATTATTTTGAGTTACTAACTTTGAGGAAGCATAATGATGCTAAGGTAATGCCTCTAGTAGATAGTAGATTAAGTATTCTCAAATACAGCATTATAAGCTCACAGAAATGCTGGTTGGAAGAGACTACTGGAGTTTTCTCTCTAGCCTTTTGCTTGAGATGAAACCGTTGCCCAGTTCTAGGTTAGGTCAGCTGTGACCTTGTCTAAATAATGCCCAAAAACCTCCAAGGACAGAGATTACACAATTGATATGGGAAACTGTTCCTGTGTTGCACTACTCACTTTGTTAAAAAAGTTTTCCTAACATCTAGCATAAGCTTTCCAGACTGCAATCTGGGGCCATTGCCCCTAGTTTTATTTTGTCTTGCATCGTCAAGAAAATTTAACTCCATCTTTGTAACTCCTCTTTCCAGTAGTTGCAGGAAGCTCCTGCATCATCCCTTAGCCTCCTCTTCATCAGAACAGGCAAGCCCAGCTGAATCTCTACTCATCTTTTATATTCTAGGTCCCTGACTCTTCCCGTGATTTTCATATCAGTATAAAAACAAATAGAGAATTAGGGTTTTTTTTGCATAGAAGTGACCACATTTGCAACTTTCTTTATAACTAGGTTAATAAATAACAGCTTTAAATTTGATCCCTTTTAAGGTAGGTGTTCTGTCACAGCACAAACAAATGTAGTTTGCCAGGCTTTCATAAAGCAGGTGGCAAAGAATAGGAACAGTGTGAACAAAACCTCTTGTTTTCTTCTACTTCTTACAACTTTATTTGATGAAGTCCTAACTGAAGTCATTCAGAATTGATGGGTATTTTAAACTCCTTGAGCAGCATAATTTTTATGTGCTTTGAATCTGGCAGCATTTTGAAATGGCAGTGTGTCAAAATGGTATGATTTGATATGAGTTTCAGCTTTGTAAAGTTGTTGCTTTAGATCATCCACAAGCTTTTAAGACTCATTATTGAAGTAATCAGTTAAATAATAAGGCATTAGTTGCTATCCTCGTTTTCCCCTGAATATCTCAGCCTCTTTGCCAGAAGGGTATCTTTGATGTGTTAGAGAACTGATCTAATCCCTGGGAGTTATTGGAAGTGCAATGTTGAAGGCATTTGTCCCATAATGCTTTTGAGTTCCAACACAACACAGATCCTGAGTCTGTGCTGCCCCGTGGGGAAGTCCTTCATTAAAGCTATTTAGATACCCAATTATCTTTCTGCTTCTGGGCCTTTGTCAGTGAATAGGGCTAGGGGAAAGGTATACAGCGCTTTGAGTTTACCAGATGATTCATTGGCATCTGGCAACTTTTCAAACATTACTGAGTTGTATTGACTTAATGCATTATTTTTTTTCCAAAGCATATTTTTGGTGATTAGCTTTCAGGGTAAGGTGCAAATTGAAACTTGTGAATTTTCACTCTTTCTTCTTTATATGAATGCTCTAAGTGAGCAATGAAAATTATATCATCACATAAAGTAGTCGTTCACATCATCAGGAGTGGTTATTGATATAATGTGCATGAATTCAGTAACATTACTTTTAATTCTCTATTTTAGTTAATAAGCTTGCTTCCCTGCAGCTCCTTCATGAGTTGAACTCTTAACCTGCCTGTGAGAAAGTCCTAGTCATCTACCCTGTTGCTAGTTCAGCTGTAGTAATCCTGTGATCCTTAGCCTTGGCTTCCAGCCCACAGATTGGGGTACTACTTACCTTCATGAGAGTTTTACAAGATTAAACTTTATTAATGCTCTTTTAAAATTAGGTAAGTGTTTATCCTCTAGAGCTGGGCAGCATAGAAAACACAGAACTGATATAACAGACTCCTTGATTTGGTAAATAATGTTGTTTTGTCAAGTTACCAAAAAAACCAAACCACTCCACAAAGAAAGAGAAACACAATTGTTCAAAGTATACTACTGCTCTTAAGTTGGCACTATTTCCTCAAATTTAAACTTAAAATTATTCATTCTCTTTATAGGAAAAAGAGCAAAGAAAACTTAAAATGGAAGCATTTTAAAGATTAAATACACATTTTTTTCCACTTGATTTTTATTATTATTTGTTTTTCTTTTTTCAGAGCAGTACCTCTGTTGGGATACCTACCTCAGGACTTAATAGGAACACCAGTCTTGGTGCACCTTCACCCAAATGACAGGCCCTTAATGCTGGCAATTCACAAAAAAAGTGTGTAATCTCTTACTGTGTCTTAAATATTTTTTTTCTAAAAGTTAATAATAACAGCTACAAAGACCTCAGCAAGCAGAAGTTGTGACTGTGATATTTTTTTCTGCAAGTAAATACTGAATCTTTTACTCTACAATTTCATTCTTAATGCAAATAGATGAAAATGAGATCACTCAATTTCGTGTTTGATATGAAGCATACTGTGCCTGCTGTAAACAAATTAACTGTAAACGAACATTTTGTACATAAAGAATTTTCTTGGGAATGCAATAATAGAAGTTGTCACACTTTAAATGGTAATCTTTCTTATTTCATAGAGAAGAAAATAAGAGCTATTCTGGCAATGTTACTTTGTTAAACTTTGGAAATGTAAAGCTTCTTGAGTCATCTTTAGCTTGTGTTCTGAAGGTGATTTTCTTGATATAGTTCAGTAAATTATTAAGATCTCCTTATTCTGGTAGCCCAACATTTCTAAATGTATCAACGTATCTGGTATTTGTTCCTTTAAATATCATCTTCCTCCTTTGCAATTAATTGTAAAATCTTGACTTGTGAAGTAGAATTGTACAACTGTTAATCTGAATTCCTTTTTGAATCATTCATACAGTACTTCAGTACGGAGGACAGCCTTTTGACTACTCCCCAATCAGGTTTTGCACTAGAAATGGGGATTATATAACCATGGACACTAGCTGGTCCAGTTTCATCAATCCTTGGAGTCGAAAAGTTTCATTTATTATTGGAAGACACAAAGTTAGAACGTAAGTCGATAAACTTGGGACTTTTAAGATATTTTTTGGAATTTATTTTTATTTTCCCTCCCCTTGGGTTTACATAGTGATCCTTAAGAAAGACATAAGGGATTTTCAGGGAGGGGAAAAAGGTCACACATGCTAATTGCTTCCTTTTTAAATTTGGGGTTTGTGATGTAATTGCTTTAAAAAGAAATTTCAAGTCCTTCAAATTCTGCTAATACTGTCAAGAGTTGCTTCAGAAGAGGGAAGCCATGCTCAAAATGACTAAGGGTATGAATTTTATCAGATTCAAAGGTTGTAGATGCAATCAAATAAGCATCAGGTTCTGTTTACTATATATAGGTGGTAAATTGAAGTTGTGGTCTTGCTGTGATTGAAGTACTTGCATTTGTAATGAGCTGTGATATTTTTGGCTTATGTAGGGGTCCCTTAAATGAAGACGTCTTTGCCGCTCCCAACTATACAGAGGATCGAATCCTTCATCCCAGTGTTCAGGAAATCACTGAGCAAATATATCGACTATTACTGCAGGTACAGCATGTGCTGTAATGTTACCCTTTTCATTTCCCACTGAAGAAAGGGCATTTATCTTTGTGTGAAGTTTTGTTTAGCTGTCAACTAGTGTACTGGAATTTCTGGCTGCAATCCTGGAAATTACTTACACTCAAGATTACCAGACAAGACTTACTGAAGTATGTTAAGGCTCTAGTTGGTATTTTAAAGATTTCATGCAGCTATGGAGTTCTCACTAAAAAAAAAAAAAAAACAACAACAAAAAAACCAACAAAAAACCCCCCACAAACCAAAAAACAAACCACCTGCCCACTAAAATAAATCCTTTTTTCCTCACATAGAATTACTGGCAATGATTTCAGTTTTGTTTAAAGCTGATGTGCTGAGTGGTGTGTGTGTGTATGTATATCTGTTTTGTTGTTGTTAACAGCCTGTACACAACAGTGGATCCAGTGGCTATGGAAGTCTCGGTAGCAATGGCTCACATGAGCACTTAATGAGTGTGGCATCCTCCAGTGACAGCACAGGAAATAATAACGAAGACACTCATAAGGATAAAGCAGTAGGTTTGGGTTTTCTTATTCAAGTATGTGGCAAAAAACAATCTAGTAAAAGTGGGGTTTTTTTACGTTTAGCATAACACTTTCAAATTAGGATAGAAGAAAGTATAAGGAAAAAGTCATCTTTCTTTTTTGTTTAACGTGGAGAAATCTTTTCTGTCTAGGGGAATAAACTTTTCTGGTGTATGTGAGGTCTCAGTGTACTGAAGCATAGTTACGGGCATGAAAGTCGGTGTGTATTTAAACCAGTACAGTGTGTTAACTTATTCTAATGTCTGTTATATATCTGGGAAAACCAGCCAGGTATTTGGAAACAGTTTTTTTGGGGAGCGAAAAGTCTGTAATTACTCTTTACCCAAATGAAGCTCAGAGGATAAAAATGCAGTAATACCTGCATTACCAAGTGATAGCTTGACCGTGATCACTTCTTATGTTGCAAAAATACACTATATAATGCCAAATGAAATAAAATTAACTGTTTTTCAGCTTAAAACTTTACTGTAGACTGGGCCATTGCTACATCTAGTTGATAGTGATATGTAACTTTTAACATTTCATTAGTTTGAACAAAACAGGAGCCTTAATTTTATGCCTATGCTTAACAGAACTTTTCTATAGGCAAAATAAATCAGACAGTAATGTACTGAATGTCTTTGCAGTCAAAATAACTGTACCTTTTAACATCACTAGTTGTTCTGGCTTTCCTGTTGTTCTTTCCAAATTTGTTGTAGCTCCCTGAGTTGTATTTAAGAAGCCAAAATTTTCCTTATGTATATTGCTTATAGGCTAATTCTTCCAAATCTGATCTCTGCTTCTGTGATCAAGCACAGCAGACTGCAGCGCTTGCCAAGGTGGTCACTTTCCTGCCTTTTGGTCCTTAAACACTAGTGGCTTAAGCAGATGAAGTCTCTGGATTTTTTTATCAGATAACTTACTACATTTGAGAGAAAGTAACATTTAAAGAGATCTTATTTTTGAGGGAAATAGATACCTATCTTTCCTTCACTATTTCCGCAGATAGTGAAGACTGTTATAGTTCTGTAACGTCAGTGCTTAAACTTCTAGCAGGAGAAGTTCTCAGTCTTAGCAGCCATATTTTGTTTACCAAGTGACACTGTTTTGGCTTTTTTTCCCCAAAGTCATCTTTGTAATATATCCTTATTTTCTTATCAAAGTCACTCAACCATATTAAACAAAATAGAATCATAGAATTGTGTATGTTGGAAGGGAGCTAGAGCAGTTGTGTACAAAAAATCCATGCTTTGTATTTCTTCTTTCCAATTCCCAAAATTCTACTGCTGCACAAGAAAATTATATTTATTAGGATTTCTTCCATGATCAGACTAAGATAGAGATCCATTAAGGTTAGATTAAGTTTACAGAGGAATCACTGTGCATGATGTTTTAGTCAGAATTTTATAGTAACTCTTTTTAATGACCTGCTTTCAGGAGGTTTGTCAAGATGCCCGTAAGGTCAAAAATAAAGGACAGCGTATTTTTACAGACAATAAAGCAAAACTGGAACATAAGAGAGAGCCTTTTGCAGGTAAGACATTAGCAAGTTAATCTAAGTATTGCACTGGTGCCTCATATGACAGTAGGATTTTTCTTCTAGTTTAGTTCTAATCAATCATAAAGACAGCATTTGCATCAGTTCAAATTATATTGTGTCCTCTGTTCACTGTGTTCAGGAAGATACTGTGTTCAGCTGTGTCTGAATTGGTAATGATATTACGCACAGTTAAGGCATGTCCTAAAGATGTTGTTTTGAAGCAGCTTAATTGTGGCTCATGTTTTCATACAAGTCAAACATCTTCTTTTCTGTTATGTGGAGGAAAATGTTATGGATATTGTCTTTCCTGTTTGCATTGTAACCTCAGGAATTTTTAAGTTGGTAAATGAAAATCTTACTAATCAGATTAAATTCTGCACCCATTAATAGGTTATTCTTCTAATAATTTGTTATAACTTATGGGCACTAGAGTTGTCCTCATACTGAGTGTGTTTCAACTCTAATGTTATCTATTCTCTTACAGCCATAATATCTATTCCCTTTGGATCCATATGCATCAACGTAACTAAACTTCATGCCTCCAAGAATCCATAAGGACAAGAAAATACTTACACAATGTTCATCTATTAGTTTGCAAACCACTTAACTTGCTTTACAGAAGTTAACTTGTGTCCTGTTAAGAAATGTGTATAAATGAGAACTTTTGCTGTTGCTTTTAGGGGAATTTGCAAGGATTTAATGCCATAATTGCATAATAGCAGTATCTCTTTTCACAGAAAAGCAAAGTGGTCCTGGTGGCCAGATGAAAGATGTAGCAGGAAAGGATGCTGCAGGAACAGCTGCTCCTAAAAATGTGACTACTGAAGAGTTGGCTTGGAAAGAACAACCCGTATATTCTTATCAACAGATTAGCTGTTTGGACAGTGTCATCAGGTAAGCAACCAGTGTGTGAATTACTCTTGAACTCTAGACTTAAGACTTGCATACGTAATATTGTTAAATCATTGTATTTTAGGTACTTGGAGAGTTGTAATGTGCCTGGTACAGCAAAAAGAAAATGTGAAGCTTCATCAAGCGTTGCATCGCTGAATTCTGGAGTTCATGAACAAAAAACAGCTGGTAACGGTATACAGCTCTTGGGAGGCTTCTCTACAGCACAGCTCTTTCTTCATTGGTTTTTGCTAGCTGCCATTTGGCTATTACTATTTTGCAGAATAATGACAAGTGTAGCTTAAGCATGACCTCATAGGCATTGTCTCAGTGTTAGATGTTTGAAGACCTAAGTTTTATCATGAAAATCTTCCCTACAATCAAAATACTGAGTGTTTGATTGAATATCTGGATTGTAGGTGCAATAAGCTTATTTATACTGTATGAAATACAGCAGGATTTGGGGTTTGAGGACTTGAATCATTATCAAACATAAAAACTTAGTTTCACTGTTGGGACTTTTAGGAACAACCAGCTGAAGAACCTGGCAGCTAATTAATTGCACCAAAAATATGCATATCACACTTCTATTTTTTCATTGTGGACATTGAAAGGAACAGAAGACTGTAAAATGCAGCATTGGACTGTTCTTAGTGTTGTGTGAGGCACACGAACCCATTTGAAAGGAATGTCCCACCATGAAAATAAAAGATGGGGATTAGCGAGGATAGCTATCTAAAAATTCTGCTGTAGGCAAAAACATTAACTTGATCTGCTAGGATTTAAATGTAGCGTTTGATGTGATCCGTGTCTGGATGGGGAGCTAAAGTGAAGAACATAACTGTTTGGTTAGTGCAAGAATTGTGAGACTGTTAAGTCTCATCTATATTTATGAGATGTTTACTGATTCAGCCATGTCATTATAGGAGGCTGAAGGGGAAGTGTCTAGTATTTCTTTTTGATAAACTTTAAAAAGAAGTTCTAATGCAGCTTTTAGAATCAAATTGGAAGGTGTCAGCATACATAGGAACAAAGTGTCCTGTAGAAGGAACTGGAATGCCTTGAACTAGAGAGGAAGAAGTGGTGGAGCTAGCACCGTGCAATTAAGAAGATAGTTTCTGCTGTCATTTGGAGCCTTGTGCGGTTCTACTTGACAGGAGATGATGTGGATTTACTAGCAGCACCGATGACTGAGAATGACGAAGCCACCAGTGTAGTCTAGTCAGGAAAAAGGCAAACTTAAAGTCTTAAATATGTGTTATGCCAAGTATTCCTATTAGAGAAGGAATGGTTTAATGCTGTTTTATGAGGCACTGGTATGACCTCTGCTGGATTATTGTGTATAGCTTTCAGGTGAGAGAATCTAAATTGGCAGGTGCTCAGAGCAAAGCTGTTAGGATCTCCTGCTGATGACAGAGATTAGTGTACAACAATATGGGAGCTGGGTAGGACTTAATTTTAGGCTGCAAAAAGACGAGAAACTTTGTTCTAAAACTGTGCCATGAAAGAAGAGTGAAGAAGTGAATATCAGGAAAGAACAAAGAGTCCTTCATCAAAAAGATTTGGTTTGGCTGTATGCGAAAGAGAATTGGATCTGGTTGCTGAGAAGTCTTGTTCCTAAAATGTTCTTGGTGGAATGCATAAAGATAAATACAAAGTTCATTTTCTGCCTTGTCAAGCACAGTTTAGCCTCTACTGTTTTGCAACCCTAGTGACATAACTTGTATTCACTATTGTTTATGTTCAGTAAACTACAACTTTATTTCTTGTAGTAGACCCTGCTGTGTTGAAGGCATCTGGTAAATCAAATGGTCCCCCAGTGGTTGGTGCTCACTTGACATCTTTGGCACTACCTGGCAAGCCTGAAAGTGTTGTCTCTCTCACAAGTCAGTGCAGCTACAGTAGCACCATTGTTCATGTTGGAGACAAAAAAACACAACCTGAATTAGGTATGAATTTTGCTAATAAACTTTCTCTAAAATGATGATTGCAAGGAAGTTTAAACTTCAGATGTGAACAGCTAGTACCTGCTTGTGACTGACATTTTCTTACAGCTAAAATATTCCTATGGATATAGAATAAATAGGGACAGAATTTGTATCTTAAACTTACAGCAAAATTGTTACATAATTGTAATAGCTTAATATAAAAAGCCTCTTTTGCTTCATCTTGTTTTATTTTTTTCCTCCTATTTCTGTAGAAATGATAGAAGATGGTCCAAGTGGAGCAGAACTCTTAGATGGCCAACTTCTTGCCCCTCCATCTAGCTCTGCGCATGTAAATCAAGAAAAGGAGCCGTTTAAAAAACTGGGGCTTACAAAGGAAGTCCTTGCAGTGCATACGCAAAAGGAAGAACAGAGCTTTTTGAATAAGTTTAAAGAAATCAAGAAATTCAATATTTTTCAGTCACATTGCAATTACTACTTACAAGATAAACCGAAAGGACGGCCTGCTGAACGTGGTATGGCAAAAGTTTTCATGATAAAACTTGTATTTATATAGGAAGTACATCCTGTTGAGAGGGCATTTCCATTTTTAGCTGTATTGTAGGGCCACTGTGAATAGTGACAGTTGCATGGTATTTTTAAAGTCCACAGAAAAACTCTTTCTGGTCAGTCTTGCTTGAAGATTGAGAGTACAACATAGCTTTCAATGTAATAACTGACATTTTAGTAACTAATGGTTTGATTTTTATCTGTTCATTATAGTATTACTGTCATGCATCTGTTTTCAAGGGACAAAACCCATGCTTTAGCATGTTTGCTTTACTGTATCTATGCTTGGATTCCCTTGCTTTTCCGTCTTTTCCTCTGTCCTTTTTTCAGGTTTGTGGTTTTGTTTTGTTTTTAGCCCCTTTCTTTTACATCCAGTTTTTCCCATTCCACTATTGTGCCATCAGTGAAACAATCTGATAATTGTTTGGTTGCTTTTAAGTTAATAATGTGATCAGTGGGATGGAAATGGAGCAGACTAGCCATAATAGTGAGATTATTTGTTTATTAGGATTAGGAACTCTGGATTGCATTTTCAGAAGTGCTTGATACTGATCTGACTTTGTTCCCATTTCAGTCCTGACTTAACATGGAACAGAAGTCAGACACCACGAAGCATTTCTTTTTGCAGATTCTTATCTTTCATTTTTTTTATTTAATAGTTATGCAAGTCCTTGATTTAGGAATCCTGTTCTGGAATCCTTTTGTCCCCTTGCATTATTTATACTTGATAAGCTTTCAGCCTATGTAAATAAGCTTTAGACAAAAAGAAAGTTTGAGCAGATTTTAGTGCCAAAAGATATTTTATGGATTTTTTTCACGTCTCTAATTGGATGAGCTGACAGCCTTTCCCTAGGGAAGAGTTGCTTCGTGCAGACTTCTAAAATAAGTTGCAAAGGTAGCATGCCTTTTTTCCCCTCAGGAAATTATTTTCTTTGTGTACTTTATCTCCTTCTGCCTTCCATCCTCTCTGAGAGCCACTGTTTTGCAGCTTTGTGCCATTTGGGCAACACATTTGAGCCTGCTGCTCTCTTTTCTTCTATGGTGTGTCAGCATGGTTTTTATTGCTCGGTTAGCTCAACTCTTGTGGGCCTGACCCCTTCCCAAATGCTTCATTTTGGGTAGGCTAAGTCCAGAACTGCAGTTTTGAGCAGCTTCTAGGGATGACAAGGTGAAAGGGATACATCAGATTGCAAGTAAGATCCTTCCTGATGTGTGGTTTTTTGGTTTGGTTTTTTTTGCAGGTGGCCGTGGACAAAGAAATGGCACTTCTGGAATGGAACAGCCGTGGAAGAAAAGTGGAAAGAACAGGAAATCAAAGCGTATTAAACCACAGGAGTCTTCAGACAGTACCACTTCTGGAACTAAATTCCCCCATCGGTTCCCTCTTCAAGGTTTAAATACTACTGCTTGGTCACCGTCAGACACTTCACAAGCGAGCTATTCAGCGATGTCTTTTCCCACTGTTATGCCTGCATATCCACTTCCTGTTTTTCCTGCAGCAGGGACTGTGCCACCAGCTCCCGAGACTTCACTTTCTGGTTTTAATCAGTTGCCAGACTCTGGAAATACTTGCCCTATCCAACCGTCCCAGTTCCCTGCACCCCTCATGACACCTGTTGTAGCCCTTGTGCTCCCCAACTATGTCTACCCAGAGATGAACAATAACTTACCTCAAACACTTTACCACAGCCAACCCAACTTCCCTGCCCATTCCGCTTTCTCTTCACAGACAGTATTCCCAACGCAGCCACCATTTGCTACACCCAGCCCTTTCCCACAACAGGCATTTTTTCCAACACAGCCATTCCATTATAATCCACCAGCAGAGAATGAAAGGGCTCCTGTCACAGAGCCACGAAACGAGCCATCCCGTTCCTGCACTCCGCAGTCAGTGGGTCCTCAAGACCAGGCTTCACCACCTCTGTTCCAGTCCAGGTGCAGTTCTCCCCTGAATCTTCTACAGTTAGAAGAAACCACAAAAACTGCTGAAAGTGGACCTCCCGTGGGTTTACACGGAACCTTAAGTGAGGAAGGAGCCATAGGCAAAATCATGACAACTGATAACTGTAGTGGAAAGGGATCCCTACCGGTAAGTATGCTGATGGTTTTGGGGTGGTTTTGTTTTTTCTTTCTGAAGCATTCACATTCTTGAACATATCTGAAGTTGTTAATATGTAGAGATGCCTAAAATGGATTCCCCCCGCTTCTGTTTTCCTGTGTCTGATGCATTGTTTTCAATCCTCTCCACTCATGGGACCTATTTTTTAAATGATAGACAGCAATAGGTCAATAAATGCGAAGGAGATGGACTCACAATTGTAGTTAGTAAATTCAAACTTCAGCAGAGTGAATAAAACATTAAATCCAATCATTTAGAATAGTCTTAACCTATAGAAATTAAACTCGCCTTGTTGTTCTTCTGAAGTTACACTGGGAAGCTTGGAAATATATCCTGAAACAATTCTGCTTTTTTGTTTTTAAAAAAAGGAAAAGAGTATGGATAAGTCCATTGGAAAGCCTTTAAATAGATTTAAAATAATATGAACGCCTAATTTCTAGCAAAAAGTTTTGGGCTAGTGAATTTATGTGGAGGAGGAAGTAGTCTCTAAGTGGTCTGAAAGAAGCTAATTTAAAATAAAATCACATCTTTGTATCAAATAGGCAACCCAAGTAAAGGAAAAATGAATTATTAATCGCAGGCTGTAACTTTGTTTTATTTGGCGCACTAAAGCTATCCCGAGCTATTTGGTAACTTCAGAGTTTTTTATTTCCTGGCTTATTCATATTTGATGAATCAGTTTAACAAATAACCTTAAAGAAACCTCAGATGGAGTAGTAGAAACCGTAAAGGTTTCTATGACATAAATATGTAGACTGGTATTAGTGTTCTGTGAAGGCGCTATAGAGTATCTTTGTAAATGTTAAGTCTCTGATGGGATGGAGTTGCGACCTAAACCCTTTAGACTGGCTCCTTCCAGCTTTTCTTCTGCTGTGGTTTGTAACTGGTCTCTGCATCTAATGGTGCAGTTCCAAAGTAGAACTTGGTTTTGCCCCTGATAAAAGGAAAGCAGGCATTGGAAGGGGTGGCTTTTACTTTTAGGCATGTCTGAGATCTAAACTACTGTAAGTAATCAGTAAAAAGCATTATTAGTGTTGATTCTAGCAGCTGATTAGATGACTTCATGCGGTGAGTCATAAGCCTGTATCATCTACATTAGAAGTTATAAAGGAGAAGAAGGAAACACTTCTGAAAATGCTTGTTCCCCACATTGTGGCGAACATTGAGATCTCCACGTTAAACGTTTTTCCCTGATTTAGTTTCCAGATTATTTATTTGACCTCATATTCTTTATATTGATACTTACGGGGGCATGAATGGAGGGAGAATAGAGAAAAATGGATTTTGTTATCTATACTTTTCTGTAGAAACTTCCAAACTTTAGGATACAGTGCAAAAATGTATCTTATTCTTTTATTACCTGCTTGTTATCTCATGATCTTGAGAACAAATACATTGATTTTCATTTAAAAAAATTCTCTATCATGCTAGTCATGCAAATCCCACTTACAGAGAAATTTTCAGGGATATATGCATCCAGTGCCATATTTGGACTAATGAATGCTGTGCACTACATAAGGTCTCTGAAATCTTATCTCTAAGTACTTGTGACTTGTGCCGTGGTATAACTGTGCATCTGTGACAGTCTGTAACTTACAGCATGCTCTGAGGTGCCTCTGCTGGATTGAAAGCAGCGTGGTAACAAAACTTAATAGTAACAATTTTGCTGGCAAATTCTTTTGAATTTCTTCAAATTGTTAGTACCTATTCTTTAGAAACCTGCAAAATGTAACTTTGTGATTTCCTCATCACTTGCTGGAAAATGAGGACAATACAGGTATTTGTTCAGGGAATGTGTTAAGGATAAAGCTAGTTCTTTCCACTATTATGTATTTTGTTAAGTTCTGTCAACCATAATTTCAAATATTTAATCTTCAAACTGACTTGCAGCGAGTTTTTCCTTATGTTCAAAATCAGCATAGTTAATGCACTTTCCCTTAAAAGCATACAAATAAATTATCTTGCCCAGGAAGCTTGCATCTGGGAACACCTTCCTTCTCATCATGCAGTGAGAGTAGGAATAGCGATGGGCTGTTGATGCAAATCTCTTCGGGGTAGATTAGAGTAGGAGAAACTGCTAGCATGCCTGAAATGGCTTAGATAAATTCTAACTTGTTCAGGAGAGTAGGGGCTGTCAAGACTGAATAGCAAACACCTTCCTTACTTCCTCGCTAAACTATATATATTTTTAAAAAGAGAAATTGAATTGAAATATCAGTCTTACTGAAGGACCACTTGTCTATCAGTCCACTTCATTATTCCTCGGTTGGTCTTGGCATATGTTATTGGTGGTTGTCTGTCTTTGGGTAACTCTGTAAACATATTGAAATATCAAGGGAAATGGATTAATACTAAACGTAAATGATTAGTAATGAAATAGCCTGACTTTGGGCTTTGGGTTTGATGTTGGTTTTTTTTTTGTTAATTTTTTTTTTTTGCCCTCCCCTTCTTATCACTAGGCTGAATCTCCAATGGATGCTCAAAATAGCGATGCACTCTCCATGTCTAGCGTCCTGCTTGACATTTTACTTCAAGAAGATGCCTGTTCAGGCACTGGTTCAGCTTCTTCAGGGAGTGGTGTATCTGCAGCTGCTGAGTCTCTGGGGTCTGGATCCAATGGCTGTGGCATGTCAGGGAGCAGAACAGGTAACACTGGCAGCAAGTACTCTCCTAGCATTTTAGAAGAGTTGGAGTGTGAAGTTTTGCAAACACCACTTGAACATCACATGCTTAATGTAAAAATCTTTTTTTATTCTTCATTGCATAATTTATTCTTGTTTTCTATTACATAACATGAAAGTTTTTCTATTGTGCTTGATTTAAAGTATAGAACCTTTTTTTAAGTGTGCGTAAAATAGCTATTAAGATATCATGTAGGTATGACAGAATAATGACGAGAAAATAGTGTGCTCCATGTTTCATTTCAGAGTTTTAAATTTAAGTAAGCTAATTATTCTGTTGAAATTTAATGGATGCATAGCTTGAGAATTTGAGTTGTAAAACTACCAATGCAGTTACTTAGGGGTGGAAGTTCCCTCTGTTTAAAAAATTAAATAAAATAGTGTAATCTTCTCTGTTTTCAAAAGTGTTCAGTTACTCTATGTATTTGACAAATAATGAAACTTGTAAATTTCTTTTTAAAGGTAGTAGTGAGACTAGCCATACCAGCAAATACTTTGGGAGTATTGATTCTTCAGAAAATCATCATAAAACCAAAATGAAGGCAGAAATGGAAGAAAGCGAGCACTTCATTAAATATGTCCTTCAGGATCCTATATGGCTTTTGATGGCAAACACAGATGACACTGTTATGATGACTTACCAGATACCTTCACGGTAATTCCAGCATCGTAGTCCTTCATGAACTGTATTATAGGTTGAGAGGAGCAGAAGGAAAGATACGTATGAACCTCTGTCTCAACAGAAGTAAACTGATTTTAACGTTTAGCTCAATGTCAAGAAGAGTTCATGCTGCTTAATGTTTTTGTACGCTATACAAGAAGTTCTCAAAAACTAAAATCTATTTGATTAGGTTTACCTGGTCAATTATCTGAGTTGCAATTAACTGTATGTTTTTTAAAGCTGTTTTATAGTTAGTGATTTGTAACTACTTGCTTAGAAATCCTGTAATCTGATTAATAGATCCTTGTAAGTACACTTCGATATAATGATGGTCTGTAGCATGGAAAATCTGTACTCCCTGGCTCTTGTCCTTGAGATGCAATATTCAATGGCAGAGTTAAGCTCACTGTCAGAGCGTGTTGCCTAAGAAGAAAAGTGTAAAACCAACCTGTTCTTAGGTATGCTGTAAGGAACAGAAACAGTACTGGGTTTCTTGGAACTTCCTTTCTATTTTAATCTTTTATTAGAGGTATTACAGCTTGTAAGTGTTTGATGTAGTGTGGGGTTTTATTAAGTTTCTGAATCCAGGGGAGGTATTGCGGGGAGAGAGAACTCTGGCTGCTGAAACAGCAGTGTTTTCTGCCTTTCTCCCTCTCAGTCCTGAAGTTGAATCCATTCTAGATGACTTTCTTAAACATATCTTAATATTTCTGCTTTAATATCTCATATGTGCATCGAATGTCTGTTTTGAGTTCCCCTCCCAGTGAAGGGGAACTTAGAATTTACTGCAGCAGCAGCAGAGGGAAACCAGAGTTCTTGGTGGCTTCATCAGTGATGCTGCCTGAATACGTCTCAGAAAATTGTTTTCACTGATGGGATTTGAAAAGACAGTGAGCCAGCAGCGATATGTTAAAGTTGTCTGCAAATGCAGAAAGCTGCTGAAATAACCGCACTTAATTTTCTTCCAATATAAGATTTGTAAGCTTATCATTCCAGAACAAAAATAGTCTTTAAAAATGTTAGCATTTGACTATGTAACCTTATATAGGCAAAAAGCCCAGACACTGTTGAAGCTCAATTTCTAAATACATTTTATTTCAGAGATTTGGAGACAGTTTTAAAAGAAGATAAGCAGAAATTAAAGCAAATGCAGAAACTACAGCCAAAATTCACAGAAGAACAAAAAAGAGAGCTAATTGAAGTTCATCCATGGATCCAGCAAGGTGGACTACCAAAAACTGTTGCTAATTCTGTAAGTTTAAATGAGTTAGTTTTGCATGTCTAACAGTGCTTAAATTATTAGCTACCTATGTTAGACTTTTCCATTCCTGTTGCTATGAGAGCTTGGTCAATTATGCAGAGAAAAAAAATAATTCAAACTTCTCTGCAGTGGTTTCTGGCTTGTTTTAATTTATCATAAGTCTTCTTTCCAATGGGAAAGTCAAAGAAGTGGTGAATGCAGTATAAGAAATTTCCTTCCTGTTTCTAGTTTTCTGTGTATCTGAAAACCTTTATCAACAAAGTCAAACTTCACTACATAAAAAAATCTCCATTTTGTGCACAAAAACTTATTCCTACTGTTTTCTAGAAAGTTCAAAATTAATGGGAGTATACTCTTACTTTTTTTTTTATCATAAGACTTTTCATGCAGGATCATCTCTTGCCTTGATTCTCTAAGTGGATTAATGGATTGTAAAGCAAAAAAAAAAACCAACCAAACCCAAACAACAAAACCCAAAACAAACCAAAGCATCCTTGTAGTTTTATGTTGTCTGTGCATTTTACTTTTTCATACACAAATATCTGATTGCATTCTCTTTTTCCCTAAGCTTTTCATCATTTGTAGTTTTTTTGCCTGTAAGTTATCAAATGCAGAGGCTCCCTTTGCACATGAGTATTTCAAAAGTCATTGTAGCAGAATTGCAGTGGAATCCAAACCCTGATGTTAATTTTATTGCAATGTTAATACTGTAATGTCCAACTTATGTAAGTGCACAGTAGCTTCAGTCTCTTAAGCGCTGCAACTGACATGAACGTATTACCACAGGGTTAGCAATCAAATGGAGGAAAAAGTGATTGGAAATGGATGTAAAATGTCAGCATTATAAATGATCTGTGACATAACTGCTTCCAGTAGAGTTCTCGAGTACCTGTATTGATTTACTACATGATATAAAACGATTGTGTGGGGAAAAGTCAGGGATTGGAACATATCTGGTAGCTACGGCACAAATGTAAACGTTGCCTTGGAATCTGGGATCACATGCAAATGGACTGTTTGGAAAAGGCTTTGTTGTCTTTGACTTACAAGTGTTTCTATATGTTTCTTTTTAGGAATGTATTTTTTGTGAGGACAATATTCAGAGCAATTTTTATACATCGTACGATGAAGAAATCCATGAAATGGACCTTAATGAAATGATTGAAGACAGTGGGGAAAATAACTTGGTTTCCTTGAGTCAAGTCAGTGAAGAACAAACATAGCCTTTGAGCCTGTTGTTTTCAAAGCTGCTTCAAAACTACAGTAATGACCCGTAAAGGTTTTAATCTTGTATCCAGCAAGATGAATCTGGTTCATAAAAACAAATGTTTTTCTTGCTCTAGAAGAGTCATTTGTGAATGAATCTCTTTTTAAATGGTGGCAATCTCTTCCCAGTAAGGACATTGTTGAAGATGGTATAGCTTTTCTTTAAAAAAGAAAGACTCATGTTTTGCACTTATGCCTCAAGTATTTCTTTATAAACTCGAGAAACTTTCATTGATGCCTACTGGTTTTTGCAGAGTGGGTTAATGAGTACTGAAAATCCCCTTACGTACATACAGTTCTTCAAATCTCCTTTTTGGTAACAATTCATTGTTACAAATTGTTCTAGCAATTCTGCGTAGTGGCTCCTTAGCATTGTTCTTAATATTTGAAGTGGTCCAGCATAGTAGAAGAAATAACCTTCAAGCAAATCAATTCGCACTTGCCCTTCTCATACCAGTTGATCCCATCCTCTTTCTTTGTTTCCTATAGTTTTGAATGTAGGAACCTTTTTTGTCTAAGAGAAATGTTGAACTAATTTTGCAAGACGGTTTTGGGTAAAAATACTTATGTGAATGTCTAAGAAAGTATAATTGAGTGCTGATGACTGTGTAGCCTTTTATTTAAATGGACACTGCAATACTATGAACTGTTTATTACCTTGAAGCATCGTTTCTGAGAATTTAAACACAAGAAATCTTTACGCTTAAAGATTTGAAAAACTAAAACCACAGAGGATGACTGCGTATGCTCCAGTGACTGTTAGAAGAAGCTTGGTATAACCTTAACCTTTATTTCTGATTTGTTCTGTCAGGAGGTCAGCCATCAGTTTTTCCTGTGTGGCTAGACAAACATCAAACTTGTATGTGGCAGGAGAGGATTAGACATCTCTTGTCACTTGAAGATAGTTCTTATAAAAAAAAAAAGAAAAGTGATTTTGAGAATAGTGTTGACTTTCACTATATACGAATTGCATAATCAAAACCTTAGTGTGGCTGGAATCCTTTGCTGTAAAGGATTTAATTTTAATGCCTCTGAGATTGTATTGACTTGAATACGTGTACTCTGTCTTCTTGTGCTGTTTATACATGTTGGATGTGGGAAGAGAACACAAAAGAGCAGCTTTAATGTATTGGTTCATTAAAGGACATTTAGTTGCAGTATTGCTAAATGTCAGTTGTAGGTCTTGGGGTGAAAAACATATGGAGAAATCCAATTGACTTTGATATGTTTGTCTTAAAATATTTTTCATGGAAAGCATTTCCTTTTTTTATTAGGATAATGTTTCTATTCACTGCAATTTAAGGTTATTTTCGTTGTATAAAAATATTTCTCTTTGCATACAAAGAGGATGTGAAGTTAGATCTGACACCAAAAACATGCAGAAGTGACTGGTATTTGCCTAGTGGAAGAAATAATTTGTGTAAAGCAATTGGTTATTAATTGGACAGTGTCATGAGGAAATTCACATTGAAGACAGGTTCTGCAGGTAGCAGAGAGTGTGAATTTGTGAATCAAGTAGAATCACAATTTAAAAAAAAAAGTATCTTAAATGTAGTGTGAAGCACTACTTGTCAAGATCTGGTTCCTGTCTTTAATAGTTTAGCAAGGTCAAACCTAAATATATGTAAATATAAAGTGAATGAGAAATTTTAAAATGTTGGTGTTCAAGTCCAATGTATTAAATGTTTTCATCATAAATGGAGCAGTGCAGCTATACCAACATACTAAATATATTCCATTTTTACATGTAAACACAAATAGTTTTAATTGGACCAGGGTTTGAGAAAAGTAAAAGCTTTATATAAAAGGAGTGCATCATAATTATACAAATTATTTTCAGGGACTTCTCAACCACTTTGAACTTCTTTGCTTTAGCATGCTTTTTTTTGATTTTTTTTTTTATTATTATTTGTTCTCATTTCTTTTTTTTTTTTAAGTGACCATCTTGTAACCATAACTTAGTGAAAGGAAGAGAAAAGTATATTTAGAGCATTTTGTGGATGTGCTTACTTATGGACTTAATCTTGCATCCTTAAAGTGTTTGCATTTACAGGGTGGTATTAAAATATTTTCCTGTAACTTTAAATCTACATGCCTCCATTTATAGATAAGATTCTGAAGCTGTAATTTTTCCAAACTGTTGTAAGATGACTTATTTGTGATGACACTTTGTCAACATGTCAACGATGTTTTCTGTACACTGTGCAATATATTTTGGTTTTGCCACTTGTGACTAATTTTTATGACTTTGCTTTTTAGAAAACTGGTAAATAAAACAGATATATTTTTAGTTGCCTTTTTGTTCTCTACTCCGTGTAAGAAGCAAAAGTTTATAGGTTACTGACAGCATGTGAACTGGTATTTCAAACTGAGGAACTTGCAAGCTATGATTTTAGTTGTGGCTGACTGTTCTGAAGTAAAATTACAGGCCAGACAAGCTGGCAACAAACTTAGTGGTCAAATGGAAGATTGAATCTTTATATTGACTAGTCATTCTGAAAACATTTACACATTTACTACCTGGAAGACCATATGCATCTAGGTTCTCTGTGTGTGTTGTTCAAAACCACCAGAAGACACACACGATGTCCTTTCTGCTTTTAGTGTCAGCTTTTCGTACCTCTTCTCCTGCAGCCCTCTGTGGTTTTGTACTGGTAGCTTAGAGGTGGAGAATTCCAGTTATGCCTCTTGAATTTGCTTTGTGCAGTGATTGTTAGTCTTGTCATGGTGTGAAGTGTCATGTTTTCTGAAGGTTGCTAAAACTTATCAAGCTAATGGACCTTCTGCTGATACTCTTGTTTTATTCTCTGATGAGTGGAGAAGGTGGGGGGGCTCAAAGATTTCTATCTTCTCACTATGGAAAATGCTGTAGTTTAGTGGGATGCTGCTTTTGACTACCCCTCCAGTTTAGGAGGTACTCGGGTTATGAGATCCTCGTTAAGTCTTTTTTTTGATTGTTTTTTTTTCCATGATTGTGTTTCGAGAGCTGTGTGACCTCTTTAAAACAGAACAAGCTAGTGCAAACCCTAGTTTGGTCACGAGCAACCCAGATATTTCTGTGAGCTGCAAAATCAAGGTGTTTCTGTACTGCAAAACTGATCACCCCACAGGTGAATTGCCTTCACACCAAGGGTAGAATTGCAGTGTTGTGTGCTCTGTTGCCAAGCTATGCATTTTAAAGAATGCTTGTTCAACACACCACCCAAGTCCCTTTGAAGTCTTCTGAATGGACCCTAAATATGTGAACTGTTCTGCCCATATGAAGTCTGAAAACACTTTAGTCCTAACGGCACCGTGGTTCCTTGCTTAGCTAAAGGTGCAGGGGAGAGGTATTGATGAAGTAGTTTACAGAACTACAAATCCGAGTGTCGTGCACACGTACAGGGTATCTCTGCAACTCAGCAGAGAAGAGATTGTGCTAGCATTTGGGTGTAAATTTTAATAATTGATATATGACACTGGAATAACTCAAGTGCTGGTGATGCCGGGTAATTGCCAGGTAATGTTTCACGGTTATTTCTGCTTCTGGTAAGCTTTTGCAATTGTACAGGTAATAAGAGCACAAGTTATGTGTGGCTTCAGGTATTCATGTGCTGCTCCTTGGTGATGTGCCTTCTGTCAGCACCCAAAGGTAAGGGCTTGGTTTGCACTGCAGCTGTTGGGAGCAGTCTTTGTCAGGGAGAGACTTTCTCCCATCTCAGTAGCCCCTAGGCGTCACTGCTGTCCTGCAACTATATTTGGCAGTTCTGCCACCCTTGTATTTCCTCTGTTCAGTTTCTTGTGTTTTGGGGCTGTTGACTTTGCTACGACTTTTTTTTTTTTTTTTGATGTAAAGGGAAAGATTGGTGATTGGAATTTCAAATAAGATGGTTAGAAAATTCAGAATGAAGAGCTGTTGGCCCAATGATAGTGAATGCAAATACAAACGTTCTGCTTGGAAAAGGGAAAGCATCAGATTTTAGTCCACTTAACAGCTGTTATGAATTTGGAGGGGGAAAAAAAAAATTTCCTTAGTGAGAATTAAGATCCTTGATTGTTCTTTTGTCTCTTTAGCAGTGGTGGAAAGAACATAATGGATTGATAAGCCTCTGACTCAAAGAACATGGTGAAATGAGTTGCATGCTTCTGGCAAAGTGACAAACAGCTGACTCAAAAGGAGAATAACATTTGTAGGTGTAACTTCCAGAAATGCCAGTGTCTGCTTGCTCACAAGTGGTTAGAACCTTGAGAAATATACTTGATCTATTGAATGAGGTAGCAAAGAGCTCATCAGCTCCTTTTTCTTTGGGGCTGTGCAAAAGGACAGCATTTTTAGAGATGGTACACAAGGTGTGTAATAACTGTGTGCTTCAGTGCTGCAGCTGAAAAAAAACCCAAAACAACCAACCTGCCCCCCCCCAAACCAATCCAAAAACCAACATCTGCCAGGCTACCAAAGTGGAAAAGAAGTATAAGACTGGGTAGAAACTGAGACAACTGAGCTTTCTTAATCATGGATATTTCTCTTGGCATGTGCTGGAAAAATCTGAGGTGATGGGGTTTCATCCTACAATGTTTCTGGCTCTGGATTATATCTAGTAGTTGCAGACATAAAGGAAGTGCCGTGGCAGCACACGAATACTGCTTAACCTTAGTGATGACGTGCAAGTATAAGAACACTTGCTATTCACTAATAAAGAAAATGCTTTTTCTCTGAAGAACACATTGTGCCAGAGCTCCAATGTCCTGAGGCACTATGAATGAGCAGTTCAGGTGGCAGGCCCTTTGCTTCTCCTGTTATTCACAGGACACGTGTTTACATCTGTAATAAAAACAAAAAAACCCCAACCAACAACCTCCTCCTGTCCCCCCCCAAAAAAATCCACAACAACAACAAAAATAAAAAAATCCTCAAAACAATAAAACAACCCAGAAGAAAATGCTTTTTCTCTGAAGAACACATTGTGCCAGAGCTCCAATGTCCCGAGGCACTATGAATGAGCAGTTCAGGTGGCAAGCCCTTTGCTTCTCCTGTTATTCACAGGATGCGTGTTTACATTTGTAATAAAAACAAAAAAAAAAAAAACCCCAACCAACAACCTCCTCCTGTCCCCCCCCAAAAAAATCCACAACAACAACAAAAATAAAAAAATCCTCAAAACAATAAAACAACCCAGAGTGGGTTAACCAAAACGAGCAGGTGCTGTGGCATCACCATGATGCATTTCCAGTGGTGGGTACAATGATTTCTGCATAGTTTGGAATGGGGAAATCAGTTGGGAGATGGTTCTGGAGCCCCTGCTGCAGGTGGGGGATCCTTGGCGAGGGAGCGATTCCCCATCAGCCCTAGATGACCATATTACTGTGCATTTCATTTGGTGTTTTATCTAGACAAAAGGAGACAAATCTGGGGATGGATTGGAATTTCCTGGTACTCTAGGATTTGGTAAGCTGCGCTTCTCTCTCATTGTGTACTAATGTAGTAAAATGAGTATAGTGAATTTATTACCTTCTTTTAAGTGTTATACTGGTCTAAAAGCAAATTGTTTGTGTTGCTGTTGCACTGTCAACTTCAAAAACTCTGTTTCTGTCCAAGAAAGTATTGGCTGTAGTTTATTTTTTTTTCCAGCATATTTGGCCATTTGCTTACCTAAGGTAAGGTCTGCTGCTTTCCCTTCTGTCATCACCAGCTGACTCCCTTTGAAATCCTGTGCCTTTTCACATGGGGGGACACCAAAGAAAACCCCAGCTAGAAAACAGAAAACCCAGGAACCCAATCATACAAGAGCTGGATAAGTTCATCCAATGCATTTCTCTAGTGGGCTTTAATCTTTTCATTTTCTTCATTGCAGGACGAGGAAGAAGGGTTAGGTGGCCTGTGCTTGCCCCTGCCCTGGTTTAGATTTGTGCTGGGACTGGTGTGGCACAGCTCTGCTGAGCCCTGGTGGGACAGACTCTGTTCTTTCAGCTTCCCAGGTAAGAGCCACATCCACAGTGTGGGTTGTACACAGGCCTTTATACTGGGGATTTAATCTGAACCATCTGTCCCTTCTGTGACTTGGGCTCCTGCTGACTGCATCTCTCCAGCTTGTGGGTGTTTAACCTTTTTGTCAGGAGCATATGCAAAATTATTGGAACATATAGAGGCTGAAGCTGGTACATAAGTTGGCCTTAGTGCTTCTTATGTGTTTGTGTTAAAGTTTGCCCACCTCCCTTCCAGTTTGAATTTTGGATACTGACAAATCTGTCTTCCCATATTGTGAAAAAGTGTTTTTTCATGGTTTGGTTGCATTTCTATGTTTGCTAAAACTGGAGGTTTATAGTGAAAATGCTTAATTAGATTGTAGACTAACTTCTTTGAGCTTAGTAATTAGGAGTGGCAGAGGTACTGTTGCTTCTAGAGTCCTAAAATACATCATTTGTTTCTGCGGCAATACAGAATTGTAAGAAATAAAATAACATCTTGTTACTTATCTTCTGCAGCAACAGAACACGTGCAATTTACTATACCCACCAGTATAGTCTAGTATCAGATGGTATTTAAGTAAACTTTGTTGTATTCTTTTAATGTGTAATATAATAGCTTTCTGCTAGAATTGTTTCTCTTCCTGTTTGGGCTAAATCAGGTTTTAATTTGCCACCAGAAGAATTTTTAAAAATCCAGGAAATAATGGAACTGAAGAAAAAAATTCTCTGTCTGCATCAGGGCATGGTTTTGCCAAGAATGACCTGAAACCACTCTGGCTGCAGGATGATCTCCACGGCAGCGTGGAAGGCTCGGTAACTGCCCCAGCCCTCACACCGAGCTTCGAAGGCTCTGGGTGTGCTCTGCCTGGGCTCTCAGACCCTTGTACAGGGACTCAATTACCAGCCTGGGGCCAAAAAGCAGCACTTTGTGCTTTAAATGCACTTTGTGCATTTAAAAAAAGCATATGGCGTGACACACTGCAGACAGAAGTGACGATGTGAAGAATGTGGCCATCAGGAGTTATTTCCAGTGTCTATATGCAGTTGTCTTGACAAGCCCCTCCTTTTTGGCATGTTCTGAAGAGCTGCTGCCTGCCTGTAGGTAGTGAAGACTTTGTCCCAGCTGCTGGGTGGAGGGAAGGGGAGGATCTGAGCCTTCTGCTCAGATCTGATCCCTGGGAAGATGCATACCTCTTCCTAAGCTCCACTGCCCTGCAGGCGGCTGAAGGCTGGAAGACTTTTGCTCACTCTTGGTTGTCTAGAAGTTCTCTTTTGCCTCCCCTACCTTCGGGGACAAACCCAAATGTAAATATATACATTTTAATTGTGTTGAAATTCTAAGTC